ACACATTCTCACTAGCCGAGCGCCGCCGCTTCGCGGCGGTGGTTTAATGTTTGGTCACAGTAGCAAGTGCTGCCCACCTCCGCTTCGCTCCGGTGGGCTAATTTTTAGTAGCAAAAAATTGAGGTCGCTGCGAGGTTTGAACCCGTAACCTTCAGCACTTGATACTGAGTGCTTAACCACTGCACCAATTTAAGTTACAACTTCTGACACGATCTCAAACTCAATATAGTAATATTTGTAAACTCTCTCTCTCACACACGCACTCACTCAAGCAGGCACGCACTTGCGTCACCCACTCACCCACTCACGTCACGCACGCACAATATACATTTAAAAGAAACATGTATTGTGATCATCCTAAGCTGCGGGGTATCCTACTTCTACTCGTCGAAAATCTGCGTGTACACAATGTTTTTGGTATAAACACCATCACGATCCTCCAGCTCTGGGTAGTCGATAAGTGCCTTGAACTTTGTCCTGGAGGTAACCCTGGAGAGGGCCACATACAGTTGTCCATGCGAAAAGCACGGCGACGCGAGGTACAGTCCCAGGTTGTGCACAGTTTGTCCTTGGGCCTTGTTGATAGTCATGGCAAAAGCTGGCTGCAGCGGAAATTGTTTCCTTCGCAGGCGGAAGGGAAAATCTCTGGTTTGATCATCACTTACGAAAATAATCCGAGGAATGAGCACCTCTTGGCCACGACGCTCGCCTGTCATGATTGTAGCACGAATGACATGGGGTTTTAGATCGACGATGCGAAGGCGCGTCCCATTGCAGAGTCCACGGTCGGGATTTAAGTTCCTCATCATCATGATGGGAATTCCTTTCTTGAGAGCCAGGCGGTGGGGAGGGATATCGTTGATGTTAACCGAGTGAAGGACCTCTTGTTCAAAGAGACTCCCATCGTCGTCCTCCACCGAATCTACGGATAAATATTCCCGAGCCACTTCAGGCAGGCGATCAGCAACTGCCTCGTTAATCCGCCGTACTATTTCGTTTGTCGTCGTCAAGATTGTCCTGTTGGCAAAGTATTCATCAGTCGCTATGTCAGGGTTGTTGATGTCGGCGTACATTTCATCAATAATACGTTTCATTCCGTTAGGAACAGCTCCAGGTGCAATTTCTTCGTCTTCGTTCTCCTCTTCGGTAGCAGCATTAATCAGCATCTCGCGCGGCAACTTCATGTATTCTTTGCCGAGAACCGTGTTAACATCGTGACGGCCTTCGCCAACTTTCAGCAGGAACGCTGAGAACGCTGCCACTTCATCATCAGACTCACTGGTTCTACTGGACCCAACCCGCACATTCTGCGTAAGGTGCACTTGCTTGAAGTGAATCCATAATTCCGAGGACTTAATACACGCATTGACAGTCTCTGCCACGGCTCCTCGTATCACAACAGGTAGGATCTGTCGAAAATCTCCAGATAAGACAAACACCTTTCCTCCAAAAGGCTCCCGAGGGTTATCCATAATGTCACGTAGTGTCCGGTCAACAGCTTCAAATGCATGCCTGTGAGTCATCGGAGCTTCATCCCAAATAATCAAACTTGCTTCTTGAATGAGTTTGCGTAGCGGGGATTGTTTGAAGATCGAGCACGTGGAGTTTTTATCCAACCTAATGGGTATCTTGAAGGTAGAATGCGCAGTTCATCCTCCCATAAGCAGCAAGGATGCGATACCACTTGAAGCAACAGCAATAGCAATCTTCTTCTCCAAACGCACGCGGGCAAGTAAGTGACGAAGTAGTGTTGACTTGCCTGTACCACCGGGTCCATCAATAAAAAAAAGCTTCTTCGAGTTGCTATTTGTAGCTTGAGGAGCCTGGGGCTGAGGCTGGCGGTCACACACTCCCCGCCGTGTTCTCTCGCGGTCAGCAACTTCTACGGCGGCGATAATCTCCTCGAAAATAGTCCTTTGACCTTCGTTAAGATTGCTTTCCTCTCGAACAATGTTTTGCAGAGTAGTCTGGTCGTAGCTTCTCTCCCGTCTGATAAGTGTGTTCGTATCCAGGAGCGACTCAAGCACCAACCGGGGAAAGTCGCTCATCTGAGGAAGGTCGAAATCGCTGACGGCGTAGCCACTAACTTTGAGGAGTTCGTTAATACTCTTCAAAGTCTCAAACAGAACGACACTTTCTCTGTCTGAATCCGGTAACTCGCGGCGTTCATGAGCAATATCCCGCGACAGCTCCTCGAAGAACTGGTCCCACAACCCCCGCACGTCCGCCGGCATGGAGTACACCAATAAGGTACAAAACAGTTCACGAAGTTGATAGGGCATTTGGAAAGCTGCAGCCTCGGTCATACACGCCACCCATTCAGCATCATCTTCCAAGTATCCCGCAGGGAGGGCTGCCTCTCGATATGTAGAACAGACAACTCCATCTACGGTTCTTAGATCCTCGAACGATGTCGGACCTCGGCGATGGCAAAGCAGCATTCTCATGAAAAACCGCTCCGTGTCTCTGGGAGAGACGTGGATCAATCTCCCTAAAGTGGCACGATACTGTGTTCTCCTGACCCACCGCTGGTCCTTCCACGTGAACTTCTTTGGTATATCCTTGTACAACATGGATTTGGCGATCTGGTTCTCGGGTGCGTCGCTAGCACACAACTCGAAAAACCTTGTAAGCGTTGTATGACCAGCTCTTTCCAGGACGTCCTCTGGGTTTTCATTTTCATCGAAGGTAACCATGTGAAGGTCTTCTAGATGAACTCTTAATTGCTCCACTGAGTGACTTTTCCCCTGGATCACGTAATTGAGAAGTCGGATGGACGCCTCCACCGGGGATATATAACGCGCATCTAAATAGCGTAAAACTTCGTTGGGTTCCTCTCGGGGGTTACTGGAAGGGCGACCCTCCACCCGCACGGCTTCAATTGTCAGGATAGTTTGGTCGGCTCCTTTGTAAACGTACTTATAGATGTACTTTACCGCGCTGATCCCAGTGCAAACCTCGACGTTGATGTGGCAGTCGTACTTTTGGGAAAATAGGGATTGTACGGCACTACCCACTGGTTGGCAGTTGCATTGTTGTACACCCTGTTCTTAAACTTGAGCGTCCCTTCCGACCGTCTGCGGCGTCTGTAGAGGGGGTATCCTTCACGGTTAGCAATAGTCACATCCTCTAAAGGCTTAGGAAACCCTTTAGAGCACTTCCCGTCTTTCATACATGCACAGTCCGGGTTTAAAGCACCACACGGCCCATGCATCATGCAATTCATCACGGTATTGTACAGCTCAGGGTTGGAGAGCTCGTCTGGAATCTCAGCCGAAACGATCTTGTCAATAATCTCTCGACTGCGAGGTTTGTCTTCCTCTCCCAAGATGACTAGAATGTGGGCATGAGGTAGGCCGCGCTTTTGAAATTCCACAACGTAAATCCTCGCAACCACGCGACCGAGCACTCCTTCGTCCAAATCGGCCAGTAGGGCTCGTAATTTTAGGTTCCATACGCGCGCCACTATGTCGGGGCGGTCCTGAGCAGTGTGTCCTTCAAATAGTTGGCTTTTGATCTCAATCCACGCCGGATTACATGTCATAGTTAGGAAAATATCCGGTTTTCCAAACTCACTCACGATCTGCATCGAGTCTTTGTAGCAAGTGTACATATAGCGCGGGCTGCCAGTGTGAGTTCCCGGGAGAATGCGTCTCAAGCCGTATTGATTGAGGAAATGATCATTCCGGCCGTTGCGAGGTGGTTGATCGTCGGATGCTCGGTTAAACTCCCCAAGTCGAACCTCGTTCTCCCTCAAAGCATCCGTGTGCTCATTAAGGTACGCATCTGCAACTCCTTTGTAGAGATCAGCACGAACCAGCTTCTGGTTGTTTGCAATCCATCGTAGACTGTCTTGCTCAACCTTCGCTCGTTGGTCGACGCACCATTGCTGAAAAAGCCGCCCACCATGATGTAGCACGGACCCATCGCCCAGTTTGGGAAATAACCGGTAAGCGACAAACTCCCGAAGGGACATCTTAGCTGTTTTCCTGTACAACTGACCGTTGGCGTATGTATCGCTATATGTCCACCCCAATTCTCCATTGGGAAACAGCAAAGGATACTGCAGCGGGTCGTACATGGGATTCGTCTCGAACAGACGTAACAAACTGCCGCGATGGGTGTAGAGGAGGAGATCTCTATGTTTGTGAAGGTTGCCATCTTCCACTGTAGTTGCTCCAACCTCTGACGCGACAGGGAGGTTGGTTGTTCCTGAACTTCGTGGATCCGCGTGCAACTTGAAAACGATGTCCAAAACTTCTTTTCCTTCGCGAACAGCCTTACGGAGTTGCTTCCCAAACGAAATAAACTGCTGCGCCAATGGATTGATAGCCTCAATCATCGTCTCAAGTGCCAACAAAGTGACTGGACTGAGGTGGGCGAAAATACTTTCACGACGCAAAGCTCTACGTTGCATGTTGAGATCAACAAAGTAGATTTGCGCGAACTTCGCGGGTGCAAGTTCGCCGGTGGAGAAATCGTAATGGGGAAGCAATGAGCCGAGGTAGTGGCCCATAGCACCTTGAATTCTGTATGTGTAGACTCCACGCTGACCTTGCACCGACTCATCCTCCCTCACTCGTCCAAAACCGCCGGTATCGCTCCGAGAAGCTCCCACAGACGTGAAGGCGAACACTTGATTGTATGCTTGAATGTGCTCTCTGAATTCCGCGGTCCTGTACAATTGCTGGAGCTCTCCTGGGGCTGGTAAAAGTGGGGAAAGCTGCACTCTCCCTTTGAGACAGCAGGACACGTCAGACTCACCAGGCCACTTCCAGGCTCCACACCAAATACATGTGAATTGACCTGGGAGCTGATGGCGTCCCTCCTCGATATCTTCACCTGAAACCTGGGACTTGTGGAAGTGTTCGCGGTTGGCGAGAGCGTGACCGCGCCTGGTACACTTTCGTCGGATACGCCCGCGCTCTTTTTCCTTATCTTTTTCTTCCTCCGTTTGCGCTGCTCGTCTTTCTTCCTGGTACAGCCGGTCTCGTTCTCGCTCGGTCGCTAGATGCTCGTCGCCCATTTGTAGACGCTGAATTTCCTCCTGAAGACGGGCAATTTCGCGTTCCGCAATACGCTCTTCCTCCGTTTGACTGGCCTGCCGCGATGCTTGGAATGCTTCAACCCATTCGCGTTCTGCCTGAGCTCGTGCTTCTCTTTGACGCGCTCGCCGTGCCCTCTGGTACTCCGCTTGCTTTCTCCGGTCTCGTTCTTTTTGAGATAACGTTCGGTTGGCTCTCCGAATTCTGTTTCTCTCCCTCCTTGCACGTTTTGCGGCCTCACGGACTTCGTCTGCTGTCGGAAGGGCTACACCTGTTGTTGCCGGTTGTGCAGATCCCCCGAGTTGATCCGCAGACACTTCGGGCCGGATAAACGAATTCTCTGGATTGCCGGAGTCTTCTTTGCTCTCCTCCGTATCCACGACAACCCTTTCAGACGACAACATACCGTCGATAGTATGGCATCTGTCGGTGAGGTTAAGCTCTCGCCTCGCCTTGTTTAGTCGACTGTCATTCTGCCGGCGCCTCGCCTTTCGCCTCCGCTTATCTTCTGGATCCTCAGGACCGACTGGCGTGGCGTTTACGCGTTCGTTCTCTCTCAACGCCTCCTCAATCTCTTCGCGAGTCCTCTTACGTTTACTGCGCACCATGGTTGCCTGTGCACGCAAACACAGTTACGCACACGTTAGACAAAACGTCTAAGCGCACCACACTCTGGTACATGCAGCCCTAAGGTCTTGAGTCTTGGGTCTTAGCCTTGAAGAGTTTCAATACGATACATATGTGTTTTGGTCGGATGGACCCCTCGATCTTTCTTTTTTCAATACTCCCTCAAGTACGACCCCGTGCGCACACACGCAACGAATATTATCCAGCCAGGCTGGACCGCTCGAGTTTTCTTTTTTTCAATAATCACTCAGCGAACCCGTCACGCGTGTCCAGATAGCCCACCACGGCCCTCTGGTGCACGGTTTACGCCGCCACACACAGCACCGAGTTGAAACCCCGAAGCTTGGATCGGTTTTGTATAGTTTGGGTTTTCGAGCTGCCTGACTGCTTACTCCCTTCGCAGTAATCGCTGATCACTTTCCCACTTCTACGCCCATAAAAGACGGAGCGGTATTCGTTGCAAATGGTGCAGTCAGCTATTCCGGGCCTGGGTGGCCAGACAGCTCTAGTCTTGGGTGCATCCTTTGCTCTAATCCTCCCCCTACGTTTAAAACCTCCCTTTAATATAAAAGAAGGCTTAAAACGCGAGGTATTAACGGCATCTAGCTCGGCTCCCATTGGTTCAAAACTACCGATGGATTTGGCCAATAGACAAGCGTCATTTGTGCTCTCACCAGAGTGGGTGGTGGGCCGCAGCCCCCTAGCACGACGCCCTGGCGCGGACATCCAGCGCCACCATAATACTCCACCCGGTAGCCCTGCCCCAATGGCCTCGGACACGGTTGTCTTCTATCATCTACTTCTACCATGCATACACGCAGCGCACCTTGTCCTCGCCGCGCCGCGCCGCTCCCGCTTTCCGCTTTTGAAAGTTGGCGGGAACCGCCCAGTAAAGTACGATAATTTCAATTTTAATAAAAACAGTTTTTACCAATGAAGTGCGTGTATTGGCCTATTTTTATCCAATGACTACTCTTGAGTCTCCTGGCGCTGGCGCCGACGCGCGCGGCGTGCCTCGCGGTTCTTGCGCCGCCGCGCCACCCAGTTGTGGCGGCGCCGACGGTGGGGAGCACCGGGCGGTGGGGCCGGCGATGGCTTCAGCGATGGAGCCGGGGCTCGCGGGCGCATGGTGCGCTGCAGCACCGCGAGCCGGATTGCGGCGGGGCTCAGAGGCGGTGCCGGTGGGCCACCACGCTGCCAGTGGCGCACAGCATGTGGCCCATTAGCGCAGACGATGAAGCGCCTAGCTGCTGCCCTCGCCGGACCCACGGCAAAGGCGTCCCAGTCGAGCAGTTGCTCACAGCATGCGCACAGCCGACGTGCGATGAGGTTCTCGCCGGCGGGGTCCGGCGGTGGCACCACGATGGCTGCCTGGCACCGAGGGCACTCCATTTTGCGTGTTGGAGTAAAATTTAATGTGTGTGTTTGTATTAGAGTTCTAGCGATTGGCCGTTGGCCGCCTTCGCTGCGCTCGGCGGCATTTTAGCTAATGAGGGCCGCCATCGCTGCGCTCGGCCGCTTTTTAGCCAATGGCATTCCTGTCACACGTTTGACGTTGACAGACGCCATGTTGGTCTAGTTATTTAAGATTAAAGATACATCACCGTTAATGTCGAGACTGAATTCGACCCCGGAGCCGTACTTTATGACGTCCTGCCATGGGGACTACGCTTGAAGTCGTACTGCATTAGGAACTGTTCGACTGAAGATGCTAAAGTTAAGCAATTTCAACAGCTGTGTCGCCTACGACTTCAAAGTCTTCGGTTCTTCGTTGGAGTCCCTGTCGTCACCGTCGTCACGCGTTGCACTACAGTACAAATACCACGTGGCCCAGAATGCTGCAACTGTAGCGCGCAAGTCCGCGAAGACCTTGTAGAACTTGTGCCTAGGAAGAAGCTGCAGCGCGTCTAGCGATGGCATCACTTCCGTCTAACAACAGTTTATTATTTTCAATCGCAAACCATCGTGTGATCGCTAACCTCCCTATTCTAAAGCGTTACATACACAATGCAGCTGTCCACAGTGAGTCTCCCACCAAGCGATGACATATCCCTGGATGTTCTTGATGATCTAGTGACTTTGCGTAGGTGTTTCGCCATTGATTCGATCTTTTGATACCACCTTCTTCGCCTCCGTCATTGACCACACGGATGAATGTTTCAACTTTCAATCTCTATAGGTCCACGAAAGTAACCAAGACGCTGCATATGTGCCCACACGACAGCCGGGTAGACACGTAGAAGCTGCAGTCGCAGGATACCGTTCCAACAGGAGGCCACATAACCTGAACATGACTTCCCTCCGATGTCGACATAGTAACTTCATTTTCGTGGCATCAATTCCAGCTCATTTTCGCCAAATAATATCGCTCTCATTGCTCCTTGACCTTCATTAAGGACCCAACACCGTACGGATGCCGCACAAACCACAGCAAAAAGCGTCCGCCACGGGAGAGAAAGCATCAAACAGTGTCATTGCCGTGTTAAGACCCCGCTGTTCAGTCAGCAGGTGCTGTGGATACCTTGCATGCACCAGTCGATGCTTGTTTTCTCGCCAAATAGTTGCTTCTGCTGGTTCCACCTATATCTACACGGGTTGTCTTCGTTTTGCCAGCCGAAAAGCAACGCCGACGTCCGTAGTTCACCCACAGGTTGCTGCAGCCCGTCCAATTACGCTCGAAGTATAAAGGGAACCCAGGCGAAGTAGATCTGATGCGTATCTATACAAAAAGGCCAACCTACGCGCACCTTCGTCGGTATATGACACGATGCGGACTGAGGAAAATACGCGGAACGAACAAGCTGCAGACCTTTGAATGAGATCCGTAAGGGCAGAGATGCGGAGAGATGGTGTGAAGGAGGAATCCACGAAGAGCAAGACTCGAAGGTCCTTGAAGTGCGCTCGATTTGTCGGACCGATCGTCTAAGAATCTGCTGGGCACGGTCAAGATTGAAGCACCGCGTTAACCCAGTGTCGACGTTGCGACTGCTGCAAGGACCCCAAGAGGCCAGGATTGACGATGTCAATGACCCCAATACCAAGATCAAATGCAAACGACATTGCATATGAAGAATAAACCGATTGATTAGTTAGATAACAACAAACAGGGTTTGTTTTGATCGCGAAGCGAAAGCAATCTGGAGTTGTCGACTGGAAGCGCACCGAGGAAGAAAGCAAGAGGTCGCATGTGCTTCTTCGTAAGCGGTAGTGTACGGTCCATTTTAAAGTAGACAAGGAAGTCTACCCGAGACAGAATCTCTGCACCGTACGCACGGAGCACGGTAGCTTGTAGTCAGCCTTCACGACATGCGTGTTTAAACACACGTATCACTGAAACGTCCATGGGCTGAGCTAGTCCAGTAGCACCTGCTCGGATGAACTCCAGTCGGATTTTGCTTGCTGGAGCTGTTCTCGTACGATTCCCATCTTGTAGACTTTTAGGCTGTCAAGTAGAAGTAGACGGCAAAACGTCACCGATGGCGTCCATACCTGCGAATAATTATGTCGGTTAATAAAAAAAATAATATTTAAAACATCACTAAACTTACATCTTTTACCCATTGAAGCATAATGCGCTTATCATAATACGCGTTCTTTGGGTTGTGAGTACTACACGGTCAGTAATGTGATGCTTATTCTGCTGTACTTCACAGTGAACCGGGCCCCCTACGACACCACGAGCAGCCTGCAGTCGTAAACATCCATTGTTAGTACTTTAAAATTAAATAGTCATTTTTCCCGTACTGTTTTTCAAAGACTGGAAATTTTACTTTGGGCCCCTCTGTGTCCGGGGAGGGGCACTCGCTGCCTCGATTTCGTCCATCGATAGAGAGTCGTGCGGTCACATCCATGCTCTTCAGCAAGCTGCTTCGAAACCCCAGCGGTGCCGGCATCAATAATTGTGTGCAGGCGTTTGCGCATTTGTGTGCTGCGCGTCGCGCATTTTCAAATACATAAATTAGTGGGAGCCCACACCAAAAAATTATTGCATAATACCCACCAATTTCCTGAGCCATGTGACCACTATTTACCAAGTTCGACTTTT